GTGTGGCCAAATACTTTTGTCCATATAGTGTATACTTTTGTGTAGAACACTGTTGCAATTACACCTCTGAGGTTTTAACTTTAAGAGTTCAGTGCATTTATTAAAGTATAGGTTAATCCTTTTAGTTTATCAACACACAAATGCATTATAAACATTAAGAGAGTTCTTAGTCACAGAGATCATTCCTCCTCTCCATATGGGCCAGAGGTGTGTGGTACATGTATGAACAAATCTTAAACTCTTCAGAATATTCAAATTGAGCTGACTATACTCAATCATCAGTCACTGACCGAATCAATAGCTCTTAGCAGTCAACAAAGTAATGGAATTTAGACCTCTAATGCTGAGTGTGATGTGATGCATTCAGTGTGCAAGTCCTTGTTCTGTTTAAAAATTATTCTAAAGTTCTGTGTGTGAATTCTGCAGCGTGAAGTAGATTTGTGCTCTGTTTTCGCAAAACAAACCTACATGGACGTAACACTCCACCAGATGTCAGTAAGGAAACACTGTGAAACCATATATTGCAAACACAAAATGGGAATTTTGTTCTAAAAGAAGTTCCAGATACCCACTTGATTTGACTGCTAAAGCCTCATATCATTTAAGTCATATTTATACAAAAAGAGGACTGTCCCCTATTTCATACAATGTCATTGCTCTATGAAGGGACCTCTTAAAGGCCAGTACAGACAGAAAGTCATTATAGTGACTGATAACTCCAGTCTACTAATAAATTTCTATGTATGTATCCAATAGTGGTTTGTGTTTTGTATTATACCACTGCCCCACGTACACTTTAAGTTTGGGGAAGACACCGGGCTTCATCAATTCCAGAAGCTTCATCAGAGTGTCAAGCAGGACATGAGCCGAGCTGGACAGGAAGTCCCGCCCACACGTTACTGCTGCTATGTCTGAATGATTGGAAACAAAGACAAGGCAGGTGACTGGGGGACGCCTGCTTTGAGTCACTGTGAGGCACTGACACAATGTCAAAAAGAGTACTCGCAATACACTTTTTACATACACATTTGACAACATGCTAATGCTAAAGTGCTTTTTGTAAAAACAATGGCAACAACCAATGGAAACAACACATTAATTTGTGGATTAATGATGATCTAACCTTATAAAACTACATTTATTTTCATTATCATAATCTGCTGCTATAACTTAGTGGATTCAGGTAAGGTTTAGTGGTATAAAACGTACTGATGTATAGAAAATATTTGTATTCAAGTGTGCGTGAACACACCAATGTGTTAATATACAGAAGGTATGAACTCACTAGTAATGGTTCCAGCCAGAGCCAACACAAACTGGTGCTCCTGGGAGTTGTGGTCCTCAGTTTTCATTTCTTCGTCCACAGACCTGACAAAGCTCTCCAGAGTCTGAGCAGCTACCGCCAGGAAGGACTGGAGCTTCCCCTGCACCACCACCCACACACACACATAATACACACATCAGACAATACAACTCCACCGATCAGCTGTCAGATATCAAATTATCTCACTGTCATTGGGATGAGTGTAACACACACACAGGCTGACTTGTGGAGATGACTCACATCAGCCAGCCACTGTGTGACCGTGTGCTCCCTGGCACTGCAGCTCCACAGCAGACTGCAGGTTGCAGATCCCAGACCAGAGCAGAAGTCCGCCTGCTGCTGCAATTCTGCTACACTTTGCCACAGCTGCTCACGTAACAGCAGCTTCTCCTACATATAGACACTAAAGTGTTAACACACAGGTGCTCTGATAATAATAATGGATTAGGTAAAGCCAATAAACATCATGGTCTTACATATTCTACAGCTAGCTCCTTATATATTTGGACACTGACACAAGTTTTGTTATTTTAGCTGTTTACCAAAACATATTCAAGATACAGTTATATAATCAATATGGGCTTAAAGTGCAGACTCTCAGCTTTAATTTGAGGGTATTCACATCCAAATTGGAGAGAGGGTTTAGGAATTACAACTCTTAAATATGAGGCTGCCTAAAGGTAATTGGAAAATTGACTCAAAAGCTATTTCATGGGCTGCATGGGGTATTCCATCGTTAATCCATCATCAATTAAGCAGGTAAAGGGTCTGGAGTTCCAGGTGTGGCATTTGCATTTGGAAGCTGTTGCCGTTAACCCACAATATGCGGTCAATGGAAGTGAAACAGACCATCCTTAGACTGCAAAAAAAGAAGAAATCCACCAGAGAGATAGCGGTAATGTTAGGAGTGGCCAAATCAACATCCTGAGAAAAAAAGAGCACACTGGTGATGATGAACAGTGGTGGATGATCGCAGGATCCTTCCATGGTGAAGAAAAACCCCTTCACAACATCTACACAAGTGAAGAACACTCTCCAGGAAGTAGGTGTATCAGTATCTAAGTGTACCATAAAGAGACGACGATGAGCAAATGAGAGCAAATACCGAGGGTTCACCACAAGGTGCAAAC